CCTGTTTGCTTTGTTGTCATGTACACACATGACTTTAATAAAGATAAAACTTTAAAAATTATGTGTATCTCACAACAAAATAATTATATATTTTATGACACTTTATGACAATACCAAAATGGGTGTCTGGATATCCAGTTAGACTTGCCTCCGCAGAAGAAATTCATACTATAATGCATCTCACAGATGTTTATGAAGAGTGTTGGAAAGGATATTCTGGGACTTAAAACACTGGAGATAGTAGAGCATAGTGGTGAAGGCTCTGTTATTTGGCATCACACTGACCGGGGTTCAAGTTGTCTCTTCGTCATTCACTAATTGCTTTGTTATGGACAAGCTACCTTCCTCAACTCCAATTTCATGTTCTGTAAAATGAGTAATGTTCATATAGTAGAAATGTAAGCCTATCAAGAGCAAGGGCCATCTCTGTAGAGGTGCCTAATACATAGTTGGTACTCAATGTCTGTTGAGTGGCTTGAACGTACCTCGCAAATATGTGCTGAGAAAGAATTCAATGTACAAAGAGTAGGGGAGAAGGAGTGTTAGTCCAAAAGTGGGTAGCAGTTTTCTTATCTATGGGAAATATGCCTTTAGTTTAACAATATGTAGTCATTTTTGCTGTGGAATGCTAGCCCTCAGAGCTGAGGGATACAAAATGAATTAAATTGCCCTGCACGTAAAAGGAGGAAAAAATGAGATTCTACCAAGCTCAAGAGAGGACATTGGAGGCTGGAAATAGAAGGAGGGGGAGCTGTGCCCTCTGTATGTTGGGGTGGGGGAGAAAGGGCTCAACAGTGATGGGGGGTGGGGCGTAGGAGAAAGGACAGTTATGCCTTTCTCAATCACGGGAATGGCTGAGGAAATGTGAAGCACCGGAAAATTTGATGTCCAACTTCAAGTTGATTGCTATGCTGTGCTGTACAACTCAGATGACTAAAGAAGTGGTAGGTAACCTTGGAAGGAAAGCATTACCAACCAATCTCAGACTTACCTTCAGAGGTACTGAGTGTATAGTTTGGAGGAAGGGAAGTATGTTAGGAGAGGATTGGTGGTGAGGATATTCTAGGCTCATTTAAGCTCCAGGCATCTGAAATCTTGGTTGCTCCTGGATTAGGCAGTTTTATCTCCTGATACTGTGCACCCAGCAATCGTTAGCCTTTCTTTCCTTTATCTCCTGGACAGAGCTGCCTGGAGACAAATCAGCTTCTCATCTTTTCCCTTATTTGATATGTAGGATCTATATGATTTTGGGCATTTGCCTGCTGATCTGTGTATGCTGGAAACCAGTCTGAGACTCAGTTACCTAGGTTTTTCAGAGTTTATGGGTAGATGCTTAAGGTCAAAAGATTCCAGGAGTTTACAAGGAGAAGGAGGGAGGAAATGTCTCTGATCAAAGGGTGACAGATTTTGGATGGATTTGTATTTTCTCTCCTGATAAGGTTTCACCCTGTCCTCTGATCCTCAGGACATAAGATAGGGGTGGTTATAGTATTGTGTTATGAAGGTGGTGGCATTGAGAAATAACTGGGGACGTTTGGCTTTGAATCTTTGGGAATACCTCTCTAAGGGAGTTGGATTGAGATTTTGGCTGAGTCCCTTGAATCCAATAGCTCCTAAGGTTCTGATTTTGCATTCCTTTAAAGTTACTCCACAATCCCAAAGACTACTTAAAATGTGGAATTTCAAATGGTGGAGGTTGAAACAGAGGGTGTTCTATGGGGAAGAAATCACAAGAGCAAAAGCTCCTAAGCAAGAGAAGGCAGAACACATATGGTAATAGTTGTGTTTTGTTTGGTTGGAATATATAGGTAGTGGTCAGAAAAATAGCAAGAAGGAGGCTAGAAAACTAGTTAGGGCTAGATTTTTGGAAAGCCTTGAAATTAGGCTGAGGCATTTCTTGAAAGAGTAGTCTGTAGTCTTTGTCATGAATACCTCACCTGCCATTCACATCTCAACCCACTTCAATCAGGGAACTGCTACATGGCAGACTCCCAAATAACAATGGCTTAAATAAGACATGCATGTATTTATCTCACCTAAAAGAAATCCAGAGGTAGGCAGCCCAAAGCTGGTAGGGTGGCACTAAGAAATTGTTAGAGATCCAGGTTCTTTTTAGTTTGCTGCTCTACTATCCTTAGGGTGTGACCTTTGTCCTCATCCATTTAATTCCAGGAGGCTATGTGTCCAGCTAAAAATCAGATGTTCTATTACTAAGGAAGAAGAGGAGAATGAATATTGGGGTAATCAACTAGCAATCTATGCTACAAATCTCTACTGAAATTATCCCCTCCTAAGTCACCAGAGACCAGACCACCACTTAATTGTTAAAATCCCTAGACATTTTTTCAGGCCTTTTCTTGACCTCTTGGTAACATTCAACACTACTGAGCCCTCCCTCCTTTTGAAACATTCTCTTCCCTTGGTTTTGTGACACTACTTTCTCCTGCTTTTCTCTCTTTCTCTTTGGTCACTACTTACCCATCTCTCTCATGGGCTTCTTTTCCTCCACCTATGCCAGGGCTCTTCCCTGGGCCCCATCTAAGGCTACACAGTCTTCCCAGGTGCTCTTGCCCTTTCCCATAGATTAAAGAACCATTCATATATTGATGACTCCTGTATCTATAACCTCAGCCCAAACATCTTTACTGAACTTCAGACATATATATTCAACTGCCTGTGGAATATTTCACTTTGATGTCCCATAGATACTTCAAAATCAATGATCAGCGCCCCCCCCCCCATTACTATTCCATATATCAGTGAAAGGGATTGCCATTCACACATTTGATCTCTCAAGTCAGATCCCCAAGAGTTCCCTTTGGCATTTTTCTCACCCTTTTCTCCACATCTAATTATTCATAAAGTGTTGTTGCTTTTTATCTCTTTAATATCTTCTGAATTCAATCACTTCTCACCACCTCTACTGCTACCACTCTAGGCCAAACTACAATCATTGCTTATCTGGATGACTACTGTCCCTCTTTCCAGGAAGTCATCCAATTCATATTTCCTATGAATTAGGCAGCAAGGGTGTTCTCTCTAAAATATAAATCTATGTCATATCCAAGCCTGGAACCTTTCAATAATCTCTCAGTGCTCTCGGGATGAAGACCAAAGTCCTCCTCTTGACATTTAAGACTTGCCATGATTTGGAAAAGATGGGAAGCTGGGGAACTTAGAACTGGAAGAAAAGAAGGGGCTGTGAATTACTTAAGTGAATTTGTTATGTAATAAAGGTGCCATTTCAAATCATTGTGGGGTGGATTAATTTGCACTTGGGATAAAAGACTATGATTTTGGAAAATAATTAAGCTGAATCCTTATACAAAACAAATTTTAGAATGATCAAACATTTAAATGTAAATAATAAAGTCATGAAAGTGCTTGGAATAAAATAGGGATTGTTATAATAAAGAAGTGTGGAAAACATCTCTAAGCATGAAGGAGAATCCAGTTGTGATAAAGGAAAACCTGATACATTTCACTACATAATAATAATATCTGCTTGTATAGCAAACTATCATTAATAACATGACAAGTATTTGTAATATGTCTGACATATAAATGTATGAGAAATGTCAGTTGGTGGGAATGTTATCCCATGTATCTTTTGCAAGTAAGTTGACACATTTTGTATCAAAACGGAAAACTTCTTTTGGTGGCATTTGAGTCAGCCAAAAAACAAACAAACAAAAAAACCATAAATAAGACAATAACAAAAGCCCAATACAGATACAAGGTTGCTCCTTGTAGCATTGTCTGTAATAGTGAAAAAATGGAAACAATCTGAATGTTCATGTATCCTGGACTGATTAAATAAATTATGGGACATCTATACAAGAAAAGATTATGCAGCTGTCAAGAAAAATGTGCAGTATGGAAAACTGATTAGAATATATAACTGGAAAATAAACCCAGGTCACAGGACAGTAGGTATAGTGTACTGTTTGTGGGCAGAAAACCCAAATTAGTGTACGAACAGAAAAAAAAAATCTGGAAGAATGTATACATCAAAATGTGAGTAGTGATTATTTCTGGGGGATGAGATAAGGGTAGCCTTTCATTGGTATGTTACATATTTCTGCATTATTTGAATTTTCACAACAACACATTACCTTTGTAATAAGAAAGAATAAAGATATAAAAATAAATAAATTCAATGAATGAATCGCTTTGAGGGGGTGGTTTTGGTTGGAAGAGCTTCAGACCGAGCCTGGTACAGTGGCATAAACACGAGCTTTGGCGTCAGACAGCCCTGAGCGGGGCCTCATTGCCCCACCCCCGAGGAAGGAGAAGGGGGGGGTGACAGGGGGCTGCGGAAAGGGGCTGGGCTGGGCTGGGCTGGCTGCTGCTCTAGTCCAGGAGGCTGAGACTTCGAGTGGGACTGAGAGAGGGCAGACGCATCCCGGACTCGCTCGAGGACAAGGTGAGGGACGCTGAGATTGGGGTTTCCTGGCAGCCAGACAGTGATTCCAGCCCCTTCGAACCTGTAGCCCAGCAGGTGGGCAAAAACTGCATCACTGCAGCTAGCGGAGAGGTGACCTGGTCTGGGATGTAGGCAACCAGGAGGACTTACAGAATAGTAGGCTTTATGGACTGGGGAGCAGAGACTAGCGGAGAAGGCGGAGAAAAACAGGGAACCGGGCATGCTGGATGGCGGACGGGGAATATGAAGGGGAATACTGAGGGGAAGTTGAAATCCAGAGAAGAAAATACGGGATGCAGAAAAGGGTTAAGGAATACTGGGGGAGGGGGTGCATAGGTAACACGGAGGAGGATGTAAGAAGGGCAATAGGGAATTCTGTGGGGTAAATAGGAAATGCGTTGGGGGAATAGGGAGCAGGAAGCAAGGCAGAGGGAATACGGAGGGGGGGTATAAGGAATGAAGAGCAGGGAGCGGGGGAAGGGCAGACTGGCTGAGACTGAGGCCCCCTAGGGAGGCGGAAAGGGGCGGGACCACTTCCGGCCTGGCGGGGGGAGGGCAGTCTCCGAGTTTTGGAGGGGCTTAGAGAGAGTGGTCACTCTCCGGAATTGTAGGAGGACGAGGTGAGCAGCAGCGGGGCCCAGCTCCGGATCAGAGCCCGGTAGGGGTCGGCCCCACCCTCTGGGAATCTAGAGAAAACCTGCCCTAAGGACCAGATCGTACTGGATCCATCCGGCTGGGAAGGGAAGGGATTGGACCCGCTTTGGCTGGGCCCAAGATGGAATCACTAGCTCAATACTGATTTGAGGAGGGGGTGTATTAGGGAAGAGGCAGAACCAAGATGTGCTTTTTCCCTGTTTGGAGGGGGGCGTGTTATGAAAAAGGGCGGGACCAGGCGGTACTACGGATTTGGGCTGGGTGTGAGCAGGGAGGGGCCGGGACCACCAGACACTGACAGTTGGAAAAGGAGGCTTGCTGGGGAGGGGGCGGGACCTAATGCTGCTGCGGACCTGGAGAGAGGCGTGTGCTGGAAAAGGGTGCAGGACTGAGTCCGAGACTATTGCGCATGCGTACTATGGATCGCTAGAAAGGGGCGTGCAGAGAAGGGCCCTCACGGAGACGGGCCAGCTACCAAATGCGCATGTGCACGGTGGACATCAAAGAAAGGGCTTGTGCTGGGAAAACGGGCGGGGCTGAGATGGGCCTTGCAGCGGACGCGCATGCGCACTGTCGACCTGCGGCTGGGTGGGGGGGTGCACTGGGAAAAGGGGCGGGGTCCTCCGAGCTGCCGCGCTGGCACATCTTCCTGGAGAAGGGGAGGGTGCGGCTGCAGAGAATTGAGACCTGGACGCTGTGGATTACTAAATCTGAAAACAGACTCGTTGGGTTGGGGAGGGGTTTGGGATAGGGGCCCTAGGGAAGGTGAGGATCAGCTTCCAGGCAGAAGAACAGAGGGGACGTTCAGTGGATTCTCCCCTTGACCCAGGCCTTCTCTCCTTCAGGCTCAGCTCTTGCCAGGCCAACTTGAGACATGTCTGACACAAGTGAGAATGGTACGGGTCCAACCCGCCTCCAGGTAAGGCGTCCTCCTGTTCTCTCCCTAGCCGCTTTTCCTCTCCAGCCCCTGTTGCTGCCCCAAATCCCTTGGCACCTTCCCTCCCATCCTTGTCCTTCTCCACCCACTTCCCTGCCTGGGTATCCCCTATCCCAGTAGAGGGAATGAGGAAGGAAGAGGGAAGGATGGATAGAAGGAGAGAGATCAGGTCCATCCCTCTTCTGCCATCAGTTCCTGCTCAGAGGAAGGGGAGGTCTTGTTGGGCTGAGGTGGCAGAGCATGCTGCAAGTAGGAGTTAGTACAGGTCTGAGAAATGAAGACTTGGAATTTTGGAGCCATTTGCCTAGTTGTGGGTGGGGAGAAGTTCTGTGAGCTTCCCTGCTTTCTCTTGCAGGCTGAAACTTCAGAAAAGGAAAGTGATGTAAAGGTGCAGACCCTATTGACAGTGACCCAGAACTTGGAGGTCTCAGAGACACCAAAGGCTTCAAAGGCACCAGAGGTCTCAGAGGCTGGGAAGGCCTCAAATGCTGCAGGGGTCTCAAAGGCCACAGAGGTTTCCAAGGCCCCAGAAGCTCAGGAGGAAGCTGCCACTAAGGTCTCACCTACCACTAAGCTGACTGATACCACCCAGTCTTTGGCAGCTGAAAAGAAGAGTCCAGCAGCTGACACCAAGGTGCAGAATGCTGACCCTCAGGCTGTGACAGTGCCTGCCACTGAGACCAAAAAGGTCAGCTGCGTGGTTGATACGAAGGTCAATACAAAGGCCCTGGAGACTGAGGCTGCTGCCTCTCAGGCTCCGTCAGATGAACCTGAGCCTGAGGGTACAGCTGCCCAGGCTCAGGAGAATCAAGATACTCGGCCCAAGGTCAAGGCTAAGAAAGCCCGCAAGGTAATATTTCTGCAATAATCATCTTTGCCTTTCAAATCGTCTTCTCTCAGTTGGTTCATTTGTTCTGCAAACATTTAGAAAATTTCTTGAGCTCATCAACGCTGTGGGGAATATGACGCAATTCCTGTTTTCAGAGAGCTCACAGATCTTGGGGGAGATTAGACAGGAGTTCACATAACTGTAATCTGAATGTACTGCAGTTTATATTTACATAGTAGCTACCATGTGTTAGGCTTTGATGAGCATATTCACACAGGTTATCTCTTAAATCCTGAAACAAATACAGTTTTATAGAGAAGAAAGTAGAGTCCCAGACAGATAGAATGAAATTGTACAGGTTGATACAAACAGAGCCAGTGGTGGACATGGGAAGAGGAGAAGCCTCAGATTCCGCCCTTGGGTAGCTCCTGGTCTGGTTCAGTGATGAAACTCTTGCTTGAAAGCCAGTGAAAGACAAACCCAAGGTTCAACATGGACAATATCTAGTGAGTCATGTTGTTATTGCAGGGGCCGGATTAGAGAGGGTTTCTGGAAGAGATAAAATGAGGAAAAAGGACCATCTGCTTCATCTGGCACTGTTGTGCTTCCTCTCTGTTGATACAGGTGAAGCATCTGAATGGGGAGGAGGATGGCGGCAGTGATCAGAGTCAGGCTTCTGGAACCACAGGTGGCCGTAGGGTCTCAAAGGCCTTAATGGCCTCAATGGCCCGCAGGGCTTCAAGGGGCCCCATAGCCTTTTGGGCCCGCAGGGCATCAAGGACACGGTTGGCTGCTTGGGCCCGGAGAGCTTTGCTCTCCCTGAGGTCACCTAAGGCCCGTAGGGGCAAGGCTCGCCGTAGAGCTGCCAAGCTTCAGTCATCCCAGGAGCCCGAAGCACCACCATCTCGGGATGTGGCCCTTTTGCAAGGGAGGGTAAGAACCTGTCCTTTCCACTCTGCCTTATCCATTGCCTTGCCTGCCATCTTCTCTGCTGTCCTTTCAAGGCGTCTACAGTATATTTTGATCTTTATACCTTTTCCTCCTCTCCCAGGCAAATGAGTTGGTGAAGTACCTGTTGGTTAAAGACCAGACAAAGATTCCCATCAAGCGCTCAGGTAGAGTCCCACTAACCCTCTTTTCCTGCAGTTGTGCCTTCCATTGCCCTCTCCCCTATGTGCTGGGGGCATTCCTTGTTCTTACGCTCCTACCTCTGTCCTCCCAAAGTTCTAGTTTGGCAGTGCTAGCATCTCTGTTCATGAGCTCAGAACCTGTTGATGTCACTGACAGCAGAGATGGCAAAGGGTCTATAGTTTGGGTATGGGAGCCACCTGGCTTCACTTCAGCTCAGGTGCTTGCAACACTCTCCCCTTGCAGACATGCTGAAGGACATCATCAAAGAATACACTGATGTGTACCCTGAAATCATTGAACGAGCAGGCTATTCCTTGGAGAAGGTGAAGGGGCAGCCCTGGGGGATGGACGCTATGGGAAAGCCTTGAATTAAACAAAGGTGTACTTGTCCCTTCGGGGAGGTTCCACAGAGACTCACTAACTCAGCTCCATCACTGCACGGATGGGCCAACAGTGGCCTAGGGAGGTGCATAGACTTACCAAGGGTCACATAACAAGTCAGTGGTAAAGACACAGCTCGGACTCAAGCCGCCCAACTTAGTCTTGGTTTCTGTCTGCTGGACATGCCCTGGAATGTATTTCAGATGCTCACTTCTCCTTTCCATTCACTAGTCACAATCTCCCTAGAGTCCTACTAATCACAAGGATAATGTTGATAACAATAGCACATTTGTTGCCCATTTATTGTGTGTTGGCCTCATAGCTAAGTATATATTATCTCACTGATTTTACTGATACTAAACTATTATACATAGCTTTATGTACATTATCTCACTGATTTTACACACACACACACACACACACACACACACACACACACACCCTAGGTACATGGTGAGCTGTGGGATGCCCAAGAAGCTGACTTTTGTGATCTCATAACATTTTCTCCCCATTCACAGGTATTTGGGATCCAACTGAAGGAAATTGATAAGAATGACCACTTGTACATTCTTCTCAGCACTTTGGAGCCCACTGATGCAGGCATACTGGGAACGTAAGCTGGCAAAGGGCTGGGGTGGGAGGGAGGCTTCTGCTTTTGTCCATGATACTACCCCATCCCTGTCCTCTCTTCCCCACACTTCCTTAGAGAGTCAGGAAAGACAGGGTCTGAAAAGCCCCTGTTCCGGGTCCCACATATAGTGGGAACCCTGCCCGCAAAAGTAGTGCCTGATTGTGATTGACTGAAGGGTGTAGAAGCCTGTGGTGCGGCATTCCTATTGTCAGGTTGTCTGTTTGTGCAGAAGCTTCCCAGGAAGGCAGAGCTGTCATTGCTTGTCTCTTCCTACTGGTCTTGATAGAGTGGTTCTCAAGGGAGGGCTTCCTGGTGTGGGAGGATCATGATGCCCGCAGGGCAGGAGCATCAGTGTGCTGTGAATTCTCTCATGGCTGAGGGTTCTGAGACAGAAAGAGGGGACTCACATTGACTGAGTGCCTGGGTCGAACCCTGTTGCCAACATTTCTTTCATCCTCTCAGCAACCCTGGGAGGGGGGGATGTGATTTTCCTGGTTTACTGAATAGGAGAATGAGGTTCGAGGGTCTAAGTGTCTTGCCCAGGGTCACATAAAGCTTGAAGCATAGACTGGGCAGAATCTCCCATATCTGAGGAATGTGGGAGGGGCTAGCCTACTGATCTGGGTGGTGTGTTTTTTGCAGATGGCTGTGTGACTTAAACCTCTCTGTCTTATTGTTCCCCTAGAACCAAGGACTCCCCAAAGCTGGGTCTCCTCATGGTGCTTCTTAGCATCATCTTCATGAATGGAAATCGGTCCAGTGAGGGTGAGTGGTTGTGCATGCAGCTGAATGGGTGGCCATGGTTAGAATTCCATGTGTTCATTTTCTGTCCCTGTCTCCTCTTGCCTCCCCTTGCAGCTGTCATCTGGGAGGTGCTGCGCAAGTTGGGGCTGCGCCCTGGGTATGATTGGGCTCTCTCAGCGCTTGCTGTCCGTGTTGTCCTTTGGCAAGAGAGGATGGTCCCAGGATCGCATCAGCCTGGTGTTCTGGTGGAGCGGGCTGGGGTGCTGGACTGGGTAGACAGCCCACGGCTCTGACCTGGGTGGATGGGGAAGTGGTCCTGAACTCCCTGCTCTCTTGAGCTTACTGTCTTTTGAGTTTCTGTGGTGTTTCCCTCTTGTGCTGGAAACCTCTTTTCCACATTGGAAATGCCTCTGCACACATCTGGGAAGTGCCATGGCCCTGGTTTTATTTATTTGTTTGCTTGTTTGTTTATTCATTTATTTATTTATCTTTCTCTGCTCTCAGTATACATCACTCGCTTTTTGGGGATGTAAAGAAGCTCATTACTGATGAGTTTGTGAAGCAGAAGTAAGTGTCTGTTGGTGTTGGTATGTGCCCTACATTTGCCTGTTTTAGAACTGAGCGATAAAGCTATGATGGGTGCATGTGTGCTATGTGTGTGTATGCAGGTGGTAGCTTATTTCTAAGGTGTTGACAGGAAAACAAGAGCACGTATTTCTTGACCTATTACATGTACTCTCACATGTGCCTTCAGAGCCATTCTACAAGGGAGGGATTGTCATCACCAGCATTGATATAGGAGGAAACTGAGGCTCAGAGTGGTGAAGTCATTTGGTTATGGTTACACAGGTAACAAACTGAAGATTCATTTTTAGATTCAGGCCCCAGTGCCTTGGTTCTTTTTACCATGCCAACCAGGGCTCCGTAGCAATTAATTTCAACTAAAATAGTAGCTGTAGGTAGTCAGCTACTGTGCTGGGGACTTAACACGTACATCTCATTTCATTTTCATAACTACCCTGCAGAGTAGGTGCTGTCATCTTATCTCCATTTTCAGTTGCTAGACCTGAGGCTCAGAGAGTGGAAGCCTGTAGCCTGGCCCTCCTTGCTTTCTGCCCAAGGCCCACCCTATCCTCGATCCGCAGAGTCGAGAGTGTCCGCAGAGCGTGCACACATGGTCGGGAGTGTATATGGAATATCCTGCTCTCAGTGGACTGTTTCTTCCCTTTATGGTCCTTTTCTATGATGGACTGTCCAGAGCTCAGCCAGGCCATGGGCGAGACCCTGCAGTGGGGTGTGCTCAGAGCAGGGGGCCTGAAGAAATGGCTCCTCGGTTTACAACACACCCAATAGGAATTAGGGGTCATTGTGACAAGGGGCACAAAACATGTGGCCTTCCTATGAACAAACACCCTACATCTGTCCCCCCTGTACCTTTACATGGCTGCTGGACAGGATTGATGGGACAGGGCTCAATATTGAAAGAAAAGCTGCAGTACGTATTTAGTGGGGAAGGTTGCTACCTAGAGCCTGTCCAGTCCATGCACAGGGGTGGGCCATGGATGGTCTTAGACATCAAGGGTTTGAACGTTTCTTTTCAAGGTACCTGGACTATTCCCGAGTCCCTAACAGCAATCCCCCTGAGTATGAATTCTTCTGGGGCCTGCGCTCCTACTATGAGACCAGCAAGATGAAAGTCCTCAAGTTTGCCTGCAAGGTAATTGGAGAACTGCCCAATCTTGGCATATCAAGAGCATGGGTAGGCTGTGTGCAGAGCAATCTGCAGCTTATATATGGACATTCTGAAGCCTCTGTTAGTGTGTCAAACACTTTAGGTGAATCATTTAATCCTTACAACTACCATGTTGTTGCCCTACTGCAGATGAGAAAACTCGGGCTCAGAGAGGTTGTTAGGTGACATGTCTGAGGTCACAGGGCTAGTGTCAGGGCAGGGATGGACTATTAGGTGCATAATTACTAGAAGTATTTATTGTATTACTATTGTGTACAGCATGTTAACATGTTTCCTGGAATATGGTAGGAACTCAATTCTTAGATTCTGTCCTTCTGAGGGTTGTTATTTTTGTTTCAGGTACAAAAGAAGGATCCCAAGGAATGGGCAGCTCAGTACCGAGAGGCGATGGAAGCAGATATGAAGGCTGCGGCTGAGGCTGCAGCTGAAGCCAAGGCGAGAGCCGAGATTAGAGCTCGAATGGGCATTGGGCTCGGCTCTGAGAATGCTGCTGGGCCCTGCAACTGGGATGAAGCTGATATTGGACCCTGGGCCAAAGCCCGGATCCAGGCAGGAGCTGAAGCTAAAGCCAAAGCCCAAGAGAGTGGTGGTGCCAGCACTGGTGCCGGTGCCGGTGCCGGTGCCAGTGCCAGTGCCAGTGGCAGTAGCAGTGCCAGTGGCAACTTCGGTGCCAGTGCCAGCCTGACCACCACTCTCACGTTTGGCCTCTTCTCTGGCCTCAGTGGAGCTGGTGCCAGCAGCAGTGGTAGCTCTGGTGCCTGTGGTTTTTCCTACAAGTGAGATTTCAGGTATCTATTTAGATTTGGTGAGGGCAGCCAGGGCTGTTGGGGATGGGATGAGGAGCTGGGTGGTTATGGGAAGGCCAAGGTCGGAGGACCATATGGAGAGTGTGGGAAAACACTGCTTTGACATTTTATTTCTTCCTGTTTGGTGGATATCAGTTGACTTTCTAATTTTCTTTTACTTGTGATTTCAGATATTGCTAATCCAAGCAGTCTTTCTCTTCATGCCAGGGTGCATCCTCAGAAATGTACTCCACACAGCACCCTAGGCAGCCACTATCAATCAATCGAATTTGACACTCTATATTAAATCTATTTGCCATTTCTGAGTTTATTGCTTTTTTTTTTTTTTTTTTGGTGGGCTATCACATTTTGGCATTACATTTAAAAAATGGATTGGAAAAGTTTCCACCTCAATCTGTGTTTAGTTTGAGGTAACATTGTTGGACTCAAGGGAGCAAGATTAGCCTGCCTCTCTGGGGTAGGCTGGGCCTCATCTCTAGTCTAGAGGGCAGGCAGGATTGCAGTGGGGTGTGAGTCATGGGGATTGTAGACACACAGAACACACTTTGAAGAAGAGCCCTGAGATGGCTAAGTCTAGAGCAGAAAGCAGAGGTAGAGGAAACTGGACATCAAGTATAGACTCTCTCAACTTTTGAGAAATTTGGATGAGACAGGAAGGAGACAGAAGTAGGTAGCTAAAGGAAGATAAAGGAACAAGCAAGGATTTTCTTAGGAAAGGAGAGAGAGGCTTGAGCAGGCAGGAGCCAACAGAGAGGGAGATGTTGAAGCAGCAGCACATCCCTTGAGATGGGAGAGAAAGGACTGGGTGAAGACTGTCCTGAAAGGACTATGAGAGGAGGCTGTGGAAGGATGTCTGGTAGTCGGGGGTGGGGGGGGGCAATAGAGAATGTAGCCCATGATTTTGAGGAGACCCCTTCCCCAACGAAATGTACGCAATAATCTTGTACAAGTCAAGATGAACATTAGTGTTGGTCGATTTCCAAGGTTTGGGCTCTAGAATAAGGACACAAGACCAAGGGCAGTGAATGTATGAATTGGTATCTTCATTACTGCGTCCACAGTGCCTGACACATACTAGGTACTCAGTGATGGAAGAGATGGATCATGGCACCCAGGCAGGCTTAGGAAAGAACATGAGATAGTGTAACATTGGGATGCAGTATAATGGTCTGTGGACAGAATTAATGAAGTTCATGAACAGGGCAAAAAGTTAAATGAATATACCAAGTGCCTACTGTATGTCTGGCAGTGTTTGAGGTGTCTGGGAAGGGATTTTAAGAAAATGAGAGGGATGAACTGGGGGACTAGTCAGACAGAAGGATGATAGTATCTAAGACAGAGCAAGCCTGGCCAGGTAGATCAGTTGGTTAGAGCATTGTCCAGATATGCCAAGGTTTTGGGTTCAATCTCCAGTCAGGGCACATACAAGAATCAACCAATGAATGCATAAGTAAGTGGAATAAATAGATGTTTCTCCCTCTCAAAATCAAATAAAAAAAGAAGACAGAGCAGAGAGAGCTCTGGATAACGCTAACATTCAAGGAGTAGGTGGTTAAAGGGGGGAAAAGAGGATGATTCCTGGAGATGAGGGGTCAATGGCCTAGGAGGCCAGGGTGTTGGTTGGGTTATCTATGTGGACAATGAAGTTACCTGGTTTGGTGGCAGAAGTTGGGGTAAAAAGGAGCACTATGGGCCAGCTGCCAAATTCCCCTTGTGTGGTTAAAGGTATCCTCCCAGCTACACTTCCCAGTAAGGCACAGGGCCCTCGGGCAGAGATCTACCTTTGCCCTGTTTTAGGGAGTATTTCTCTGGAATTTTCTCTCCAGGAAGCCCTCCCCATCTAATCCCCAGATTACCAGATCCCTAATCACTGTGACAGCCTCATGGATAATGATACCCTAGTAATGGCTGCCTCTCCCCTCATGTACTCTGTGAGCAGTAAAGGAACAATGTTTTATTACATACGGAACAGGTTTTAAAAAACAAAACAAAACAAAACAAGGCTCCATCCAGAGCAAGGCAGCTCTTTGCCTGTAGCCATAAGTTGAAACTTGATCTTACCGTTGAGGTAAGCTACCGTTCACTGGAAGCAGAGGTTCTTTAATTCCATAGACCACAATATCCTCAGTGGCTGGGTGGTCCCTGGGAGAGGTCAGAGGCAGTTTAAGCCCAGGAAGGACTCAAGTGGGTGGGTATCAGGTCCAGGGCCCCCCACAGGTTCCTAGGTGATGCCCATCTGAAAATGGAATGGATAGAGGATGATAGGGGGATGGCAACAACTCAAGGATTGATTCTAAGAAAAACTGAGTTCAAAGTATTTGCTAGAGATAAGGGTGAGTCATAGTCATGAAGAAATCTTCCTTTCCCACTTATCTTCCCTCCGTGGACTACTGGGCTTGCAGGGCTCCTCACCTCTTCTCCCTTTTTATAATGCCTAGAATTTGACTGTCAAGGGGTTGGCTTTTCCTCACTCCCCAAGTGTAAGGACTGAGGATATGTGGGGCAGGGGGAAGAGATCAAGTCTGGTTGCAGGCAAGTGGAGAGTGGCCAGCACCAGGAAAAGGAAGTGGCAGGGGAAATGGGTACATATTCCAGTTCATGATTTGCCACCTTTATCATCATGGAGGCTGCAACTGTGATGAATGAACTCTCACAATTTCCAGTCTTTCCTTCAATATATCATCAATTCATATCCAAATAATTCTAGATGGTATTATGTATCTTGACTAGGAGTAGGAAGAGCCCCTAGAGTGGTTTCTCCACTTCTTTTTCCTTTTACAGATGTCCCTCCCTTTTTTCCTTGTTGACCCCCTCTTCCCCATTCCTGTTCCCTCACTGCCTTCACCACACTGCTGTCTGTGTCTATTGGTTATACATATATGCATATAAGTTCTTTGGTTTATCTCTTCCCACCTCCCAGCAACCCCTTCCCTCTGAGGTTTGTCAGTCTGTTCCCTACTTCCATGTCTCTGGATCTATTTTGTTCGTCATCTTATTTTGTTCATTATATTCTACATATTTTTCATTATCATCCCCTTAGAAGTCTTTTTAGAGATTTTTTGTCCTATTGCTCACCCCGTGTGAAATTTCAATACCACAGATATACTGTATATCAATTTAATAACTATATTTGTTATTCACACATAAAATTTTTAAAAATTCAATACAAGGTTAATAATGACTAAAATGTTTAAGTTAAAAGCAGCCACTATGGAAAACAATATGGTGTTACCTCAAAAAATTAAAAATTGATCTTCCATTTGACCCAGTGATCCCACTTCTAGGAATATACCCTAAGAAGCATAAAACACCAATCAGAAAGAATATATGTACCCCCATGTTTGTAGCAGCACTGTTTACAATCGCTAAGATCTGGAAACAGCCCAAGTGTCCATCAGTAGACGAATGCATGAAAAAGCTGTGGTACATATACACAATGGAGTACTACGCAGCTGTAAGAAAGAAAGATCTCTTATCCTTTGAGACTACATGGAGGGACCTGGAAAGTATCATCCTAAGTGAAACAAGCCAAACAGAGAAAGACAAGTTTCATATGATCTCACTTATTTGTGGAATATAATGAACATAACAGTCTGAGGAATGGGGTAGTCCCAGAAACGCGGAAGCGGAGTACAGACTGACAATCCCCTAAAGAGGGGGGTAGTGGGGGAGAGATAAACCACAGAACTTATATGCAGGTATGCATGAACAGTGGACATGGACAACAATCTGGGGAAAGGGCAGGCGGGGAGGGGGAGGGGGGAATCAGTGGGGGAAAAAGGAGAAACATCTGTAACAAAAATTAATTAATAAAAAAAAAAAGAAGAGCAAAAAAAAAAGTTTAAAATTTTAGAAACTCTTAACAGTTAACTTTATAACTATTTGATGAACAACTTTGAGTGTAATTTATATACATTGTAAAGTATGAAATTATGATTTTATATAACTATGTGATGCAATTTGTATAACTGCGGATGGTAATAGCAGTGTAATCAAATTTTTTTAAAAAGTCAAAATTTATTTTTTCCAGAAAAAGTAAAATAATTGACAATTTAAATTACTTTCATAAAAATATTTTTAGTGAACTTATTTATTTATTTATTTTTAATCCTCATCCGGGGACATTTTTCCATGTTTTGTTCAGATAGAGTGGGAGGGAGAGAGAGGAAGAGAGAGAGAGAGAGAGAGAGAGAAACATCGACGTGAAAGGGACACATCAAGTGGCTGCCACCCGCACGACCCAACCAGGGCCAGGGACAAACTGCAACTGAGGCATGTGCCCTTAGTGGGAACTGAACCCTGGTCTCTCTGGACCACAGGTCAATGCTCTAACCACTGAGCAAAACCGGCCAGAGCTTTAGTGAACTTTTAAGTGTTGCTTGATATGAGAAAATAACTTTTAAATATCTAGATGTTAGATATTTATGTACTGTCAACATTTTTCTTTTCAGTATTTGACATAATTAATGATAAATTGAACTACTTTTATAGAATTAAATAGAAGCCATTTTTATTTACTTAAAAAACACAAATAACACACAAAGGCACTGAGAATCAAGCAGATGATGTTTTATTGAGTTGTACACTTGAAATTAAAAAACAAAGACAGTCAGTGGCATCCAATAGGAACACACAGGCCACTTCTCATGATATAACTGTGACAATGAGCTATGGATGGATTGAAAGTCTTCCAATCACAGCCATCTTGCTTACATTTTTCTGTATATTCCATGACCTCAGTGTCATTGCTGCTCATGTGGTACCTAGTAAGACAAAATAGATAAGAAATAAGATTTTATCAGGTAGGGTTGAGATTTAGTGGGCCACAAACTATAATAATAGCTGATTTTTTTATTCCTCTCCCCCTAGAACTAATTTTCACCCTCTTGGTGATTACCAAACACTCATCTGCCCCTCATCTCATGTTGCAAATGTAAGCATTATAGTAACATTTTACCTGGACTGAATAATACAAGGTAGAATGAATGTTGGAGAAGGGGGTGGTGATAGGGAAGCAGATAAAATAAGAAATACCTACTAGAGACCAACTATTTGTGAGAAAAAAAATAGATAACAAACTTTTGCCCACACTTACACTTTTAAAAATACCTTGGTCCACAGATGCCTTCACAGGTGAATTTTACCAAACGTCCAAAGATGAATTAACACTTATCTTTCTCAAACTAGTCCAAAAATTCAAGAGGAGTGAAGGCTCACTAGCTCATGTTACAAGAACATTATTCTGATTCCAAAACCAGACAAAGACATTAAAAAGAATGTAAATTAGCCCTGG